TTTCTAAAATGATGGTAAACAATGAGGTTACAGCCCTGAGCAGCCCAGCCCTCTATGACCCAGCCAAGAAAACAGTCTTATTGGTATCAGGAGCTGCAAGGCCACTCTGGGTCAAGGAAAACAGGTAGGTGGGTCCCAACACACTAGGATTCCCAGGTTGGGAGAGGGACTTAGCACAGTGGCTTGAGACCAAAGTTCACACCAGAGCCAGTTTGTTTTCTACCCTGGGTTTGAATCTCTAGTACCTGATACTGTGCCCAGTCCATTAACCATTAGCCAATAACCTGGGTGCCCACTGGCATTCCCAGAATGCCTCCCTTTGTGTACATGTGTGGAAGAGCCCCTTTCTCTGGGCTCATTCTCAACAGATGAAGCTTTGTACATTTTATCAGAAGAGTTGCAAACAGGCAGTCCATGGCCAGAGTTAAGATGCCAATATATTTTGTTTGGTTTCAGTGCTGGTTTAATTTTGTTTTTAATTTGTGGCCAACTTTTACAAAATGGGTATTCCCTTTTTTAAAAAAACTAAATGTCTTGATTTTCTTGAAAAATCAGATTTGGCAAGCATGGGCTTTTCGTGTGCATGGGAGAAGTTGGCTGAGGCTGAGAGCGCTGCTCCTGTTAGACAGAGAGAGGCACTCCGAGCTCATGTAGTCCCACGATCTTCCCTTGCCGATCTTACCTTCCAGGCTTTGGGGGTATCTCAGTTTACAAGCCAAGGTCTAGCCAAGGCTGCCTTGCATCCTGTTCAGCCTCCCATACAGAAGATTGTAGGCTGAGCTGCACACTGTCAGAGTCTGTGCCTCTTTGCTTGGGAGCCATTTCCTCTCTGTCTACTTCCCAATAAGCCAGATGGTCTCTTCCCTGGTGGTTCTTAATTCATGGGAGTTGGCCTATGAATGCCCCAGCTTCCTGCCCTCAGCTGGAGTAACTCCCATACTGGGCTCTGACTCCTGGAACTCCCCAATGACACCAGACACCTCTTACCCACAGTAGTAGTTTATTTCATAACATGTTCTTTTTGAAAATATAACACTTTAAATCTCAGTATTTATTTGTAAAATGCTTAAGAATGCAACATATTTTTAAACCAAGCATGATGGTCTCCATACACAGCAATCCCAGCACTCAAGATGTTGAGGAGGAAAGACTGTAAGTTTAAGCCGGCTTGAGCTTGTCTCAAAGCAAAAGTATATTTTGGTGTATTTATTTATTTCTATTTTATGAATTAATGGGGTTTAATGTGTATTTCCATGTATGTACTCAATCTTCCCTTTGCGTTATTCTATCAGATAATTTGGTCACAACAACAATAAAAGTAGTGAATACAACCAACATCTCCCTATTTCCCCCACCACAGCCCTGAGCAACCACTACTTTACTGTTTCTATGCGTTCAACTATGATTGTGTTAATGTACTTTTAATGGATTTTCTTTCAGGATCTAAGGAATGCCCATAAGGCTTCCTGTTTTCTCCATTCTCTCCCCCGTTTTTGCACCTCCTGTAAAGCACAGGTATTTTATTGTTATTACTGTTGTGGTTTTAAGACTTGGTACTCTGAAAATAGAGTAAGAAAATAAAGTTCCTAAATATCACACTAAATTCTTGTAACTCTTGTACCCACTGGGTGGTAAGATTGAGGGAAAAAGAGAGGGTGGGTTTACCTTTCTCAACAGACTTCTCAGAGCCCCTGCCCTGGTTCATTTTTTGTGCTATGAAAGTTCCACAGACTAGGTCACTTATAATGAACAGCATGTATTGGCTCACTAGTTTGTGAAGGTTGGCAAGTCCAGTAGCAAGGCTAGCATCTGTGGGGGACATTCTTGCTGAATCAAAGCATGGCAGAAGATGTCTCAATGAGGGAAGGACAAGAGATTCAGAGGAACACACTTCTGTAATAATGAACTCACCCTGCAGCTGTGACATCAGCCCATTCATAGGGCTGAGTCCTCAGAACATAAACACTTAAACAGCTGATATCCCAATACCATCACAAGGGCAATTAAACGTCACCTTGAGCTTTGGAGAAGACAGACATTCCAACTAAAGCGGTTCCTTCTCAGATAATGCTAAATATGCCTTGATTAAATGCTGGGGCCGTGCAGAAGTGGGTATGAATAGCCCAATAACATACCATTGTTTTTAAAATTATGAAATATCTCACACATTCTGAAAATAGACAACCATGTATTTACATTCCAAGGTTTTTTTAAATTGGCATTTTCCATTTGAGTCCCTTCTTTTCTTCCATTATGAGAAGTAATCATCTCTTGAAGGAGTTTATTTCGTTACTCAATTATTTTTTAGACAAGTTCTCACTATATAGCCCTGGCTGGCTTGAATTTGCTCTGTAGACCAGGCTGGTCTTAAACTCACAACGATCCACTTGCCTCTGCCTGCTAAGTGCTGGGATTAAAGGCATTTTGTTTTGGTTGGTCTGTTTATTTGTTTGTTGTTTGTTCATTTAAGATAGACTCACATATAGTCCAAGCTGGTCTCAAACTCACTGTGTAGCTCAGGATGACACTGAACTCCTGATCCTCCTGTCTCCACCTCTCAAGTGCTGGGATTGCAGGCATGTGCTACCTAACCCTACTTTTCCTGAAGGAATTTTAAAATAATTTTATGTACTACCACATATGCCTAACACAGAATATCACTTTGACTACTTTAAAGCCTTCGTGTAAATTATAAATACTATTATATAAATGCTATCACATCATCACTTAGACTTTTACTCAATGTGATGTCTTGGAAACGTGTTTGTGTCGATCTTTTCTCATTGCTCATAAAATACTTGCTAAATGATGATATTTGGATATTTAGATTCTTTTCCACTTCTTTGCTATTAAAATGTTCAGTGAACATCTCTGTACACATCTCCTGTGAACACATGCCCAAATTTCTCCCAAAGTGGAAAGGCTATGCTATAAAGTCAGTGCCTCGTTAACATCCGTGGAAACTGCCAAAATGTTCACCAAATAACACCAATTTACACACCAACCACAGCACCTGAGAGGCCCCTTTCCCTCACATTTGACTGAGTTGGTATTAGCTTTTTGACTAGTTTATCCAGTCTGTATCTAGACTTGCTATTCTGATCCAGTGATTTGTTTCTCATCCATGTGCCAATACCATACTGTTTTAGTTATCAGTTGTGTGCTACAGCATGGACTTAAATGTCCTCCAAAACCCACATGTTCAAGGCTGGATCCCCAGCTTGGTGCTGTTGGGAAGTAGTGGAAACTGAGATGTCTTATGTTAGTGGGGTGTGCTGCCGAAGGAGATAACGGGATCTCAGCCCCCTCCTCTTTTTTCTTGTGCCCCAGCCTGGTGCTCTCCTCTGCCACACACTCCTACCATGATAAGCTGCTCTAGCACAGGCCCCAAAGCAACAGGACCACTTGATTGTGGACTGAAATGCCTAAACTCATGAGCTAACAGAAAACTTCTCTCTTCTTAAGTTTATCTTGGCAAGTGTTTTAGTAACAGATACCATTAACTCATGAACACTAGATATCTGGGAAGAAGGGTTTCTCTCCCTGTTCTTCATATTTACCCTATCTACTCTGGTCCTTCACCCTTCCAAGGAGAGTTGTAGACTAGTTTGCCAACACCCAGGGAAAGATGAGTAAGGGTTTTTGATATGATGGTGGTGAATTTCTAGGTGAACTTGAAGAGAACCAGCACCATTGTGAGTCTGTCTTTGACTCCAGGCTCCTGCTACATCTCTCCAGGTTTACTGGGTTTATTCTCATCCATCAATAAAGTTTATAGCACTGCCCATAACTATGTGAGATTTATTACCAGCTACCTTAAAGTTTTTTCTTGCTGAAATGTCATTTTTCACTTACCAGATTGGCAAAGATCAAAAAGGTTAATAACAAGTTCTCCTACTAAGATTATGGGGAAACAGGCCTGTTCGTGTCTTATTAGTGCAGGGTAAATTAATGCAACCTCTTTGGAGTACAATTTGCAATAGCTCTGAATTTTTTTAATATGCATGTTATTTGACCCAGAAATTCTACTTCCAGGAATTATTTACAAATGCATATACCTGAAATGTTGTATACATAAGAATATGTAAGGAAATATTACTGCAAAAGCATAAAATTGACAACAACCTAATGGTGTGTCAAGAGAGCGCTGGATTGGTTAGTTTATCTAATGCAGTGACTATAGGCGTCCATTAAATAGATGATTTGTGGGCAAAATTTTTAGGATCTTGTTTTTTACTTGCTTTAGCTATAGTTTTCTTTCTCCAGTGTCTTTAAGGTGTTGGGTTAAGTTATTGATTAGAAAACTTCTTATGCAGGGTGTGGTGTGGTGGCATATGCCCTTATCCCTGCACTCAGGAGGCAGAGGTGGGGGATCTCTGTGAGACTGAGGCCAGTCTGGTCTATATATCGAGTTCCAGGCCAGCTAGAGTTACAGGGAGACCCTGTATCAAAAAACAAAACAAAAGACAGAAAAAAGAAAAGTTTTTTTCTTTTTAAAATTGTGTATTTATTTTTGAGACAGGGTCTCACTATACAACTGAAGCCAGCCTTAAAGTCACCACCCTCCTATTTCAGCCTTCCCAGTGCTAGGGTGACGAACATGGGCTACGGGGCCTCGCTTTTCTTCCTTTTTCTTTCTTATTTACTTATTTTGTGGAGCTAAGGATTGATTATTGTCGGGCCCCACTCATGCTAGGCAAGTTCACTACCATTTTTACTTTTTATTTTGAAGCAGTCTTGCTATGTTACCCAGAATGGCCTTAAACTAGGTCCGTAACCCAGGCATGCCTTGAACTTGCAATCCTCCTACCTCAGTCTCCTGAGTTAATTAGAATTACAGGCCTGTACCACTAGGCTGGTTTTTGTTGTTGTTGTTTTGGGGTTTTTTTGTTTTTTGTTTTTTTTTTTTGGCTTTTTGAGACAGGGTCTCCCTGTAGCTCCAGCTGTCCTGGAACTCACTATGTGAACCAGGCTGGCCATGAACTCTCAGAGATCTGCCTGCCTCTGCCTCCCAAGTGCTGGGATTAAAGGCGTGTGCCACCATGCCTGGCCACTAGGCTCTTTTAATACAGGCATTTAAAGCTTTAAGTTTCCTTGTAATTTATTTTTTAAATTGTGATATGATTTCTTTTCTGATCCATTGATTACATAAGTGTGTCTGTTTAATTCTCACATGTTCGTGAATTTTTTATATTTTTTCCTGTCATTGATTTCTGTTTTTGTTCATTTTGGCCAAGAAACATCTTGGTATAATTCCTGTCCTTTTACATTTACTGAGGCTTGTTCAGTTTAGTGTATGGTCTATCCTGAGAATGTTCCATGCCTACTTGAAAAGAATTTGTATTCTGATGCCAGTGAATAGAAGACAGCTCTTCGTGAGATCAGTGTGATCCAGGGCAGGAGACAGTGGTAGGAATGGGAGAGGAGTGAGTTGAGAATGGAAGAATAGGGTGGAGGATAGGGCAGGCCAAAAGAAAGCACCCGCTGACACTACTGTAACAGAGGGCCACAGCCTAGGCAGCTTAAACACGTGATGGCTGGTGGTGGCACTGAAGTCTCAGGTGGTTACAGACTCCTCACCTCAGTCCCTGACTTCATCTCACAAGACTCTTCTCTGTGTCGTATCTCTGCCTGAATCTCCCTTTTAGTAAGGACACCAGTCATATTGCATTAGGAACACCCTCCTGACGTCTCCTGACCATCCAAAGGAGCCTGTTTCCTGTGATGCTTCATTCACAAATCCAGGGGAGGGACTCTAAGAGGACAAGACTCAATCCATCATAGGCACAAAGAGAGAGGGAAGAGGGGAGAGCAAATGCCGAGCCTCCCACCTAGAGATGGAGGGAAAGGGCATTCCCAGGATGGAGCCCCAGGCCCTTCTTTCTTGTAGAGCCCAGGCAGGCCTGCCCTGTGGCACTGGGCAATGAGGAGCCCAAGCAAGTCTCCTAGAAGGTCTCATTTCTGTGACCGGGAGGAGCAAGTGATGAAAAAGATTTTGTGGTGTGTTTTGGGGCTCCATAGCGTGCTTGGTTTTATTTCGGGGGGGGCGGGGACAGCAAGGAGAGGATTGTAGCTATAATAGACTGATCCCAAAGGCAAGTCTGTAAAACAAGGATGCATTGCTGAGGTCTGGAAGATGGAGGGAGGGCCATGCTGGAGGAGACAGATATGCCCAGGCAACAAAGTGACATCCTGAGAGACAGGTGCTGGACAGGCAGAGCAGACATGACAGAGCATTGGCCTTGGCCCTGGGGTTTGGAAAGCTTCTTGTTCCCTCAAATCTAGGAGATGTTGACAAGCCTGAGATCCTAGACCATGCTATTCTTTTAACACTGAACAGTGAAGCCTTGGCAGGGCCCTCGGGAGTCCATCAGAATGAACTTCACGACAGCTTGGAGGGCTCTGAGCCTGGGATAGGGTGGCTGAGCCCTGCTGTAGCAATCATGCCAACACTGGCTGTTCCAGCCTGAGTCCCTCCGGCAGGGTGAAACAGTACGAGCACTTTTGAGATGATTGCCCATTTTGGAGAACCTGGCCATCTACCCTGTGATTATAGACTATGTGAAACCATATGGAGTTGATCCAAATCCCTGAATGTGAGAAGATACCCAGACTTCATCTGACCACATCAGAATGTCCATAGAGTTGTCTCCAAATACATTCAACAAATCTCTATTGAGTGATTTTTCTATCCCAGGTATAAGTTTAGTCTCTGGAAAACCAGTCAGGAACAACCCAGCTCCTGCCCTTGACTCCCACCTTATGAAGGTGGGTAAAGAAATCAGACATTCAAAAGACCTGAGTATTTAACTCATCAGGTATTGGGAGGAACTTCAGGGACACCCAAAGAAAGATGGAGGAGGCTGGAAAATGGTACACTTGGGCAGAGGGGCTTCTGGGGAGCTTCAGTATATAAATAACAGGAAACCCAAAGGTGAAATTGTGAGCCATGTGGATGGACTTCAGGGAAAGAGACCATGTGACATTTTGGCCAGGGAGGCAGATAAAGGCTAAAAGTTAGAAATTCTGGTAAGTTGGAGGCCAGTATTGCTGGAGAGGAATGGGTAAAGGCTCCTGACGATGGTTATAGTGTCTGCTGAGTTTGTAGATTTGAAATCTTTTACTTCAACATCTTTGTTAACTTCAAAATGTCTCAGAAATTCTGAACTACATGCCCCAGGGTCCCAGCCTCTTGAACTTGGAAGTCATACAAACTTCCCTGCCCCACGTGACCCCTATATACTCTGATTTGGGACTTGAAGGCCAAGATCTAACCACACATTTTGTAGTCTGGACCCTGGGCCAATACACATACACACACACACACACACAGAAGCAACTGAGTCCAAAGGAAAAACATATCTCCTTGAAGTTTGAAAGCTCCTATTCTAAGATTAAAATCAAAACAGGAAACAGTAAGCAAGTTCACTGTGGGAATTTCCCAGTGTCAATTTTACCCACACTGCTTCTACCATCACCAAAAGAAACCCAGCTCATGGTAAAGACTGACTGCCCTTCACCAACCACTGGAGCCAGAAGCCCAGGATGGCTGAAAGGGCTCGAATCCTGTGATGGTTCATATTAACTATCAACTAGACATAACCTAGAATCACCAATCTCAGTGCTTGTCTATATCAGGTTTGTCTGTCCATAACCTAATCTTGATTAGGTTAATTGATGTTGGAAGACCCAGCTCACTGTGGGTGGTGCCATTCCCTAGGCAGTGGTCTCTGAACTAAGTGAAGAAATCCACCTGAGCACAAGCGAGCATGTATACATGCATTTCTCTTTGCTCCTGATTGACGTGACTAGCTATTTGAAGTTCTGCCTTGATTTCCCCACTATTATGAACTGTAAACTAGAATTGTAAGCTGAAAGAATGCTTCAGCTGCTTTCCATCAGGGTATTGTGTCACAGAAACAGATATGAAACTAGAGCAATCCCCTTCTCTCTGCTGTCTACACAAAACCCTTGGTGACCTCAGGTCTCAGACAGCAATCACCATCTATATGTGGCTGGGAAGGCAGTTTCAGAGCTGCAGGCCAGGCCTCTCCTCTAACCTCCAGGAAATGGAGTGCACACATATCCTGCGGCCAACACTATCTCTCCCTGGCTGATTGCTAAACTCTGCCAGTGTCACAGGTCCCCAAGTGAGGTCTTTGGGGATACCTCCTTCCACCTGCTCCCTGCCTTCTTCGTCTCAGTTGTTGCAACTTTAGTCTTCCAAGTTTTGATACTCTTCTCTCTTTCTACCAGGTGTCAATCCATCAGTAAGTACAGGTCCTTCCCTAAAACACATTGGGAGCAGCCCGCTTCCTACCACCTCCACTGGTGTTGCTTTGTTTGTGTCAAGGATATTTTGGTTGGTTTTCTGCTTCTGCTCTTTGCTAAGCCCAACCCAACTGCCAGGGGGATCTGGATAAAACCCAAGCCAGGGTGGCTCTCCTCTGCCCAGAGGCCTCCAAAGGCTCCCATCTCAGTCAGAGGTCCTTCCACAGCCTCTAGGATATCCTAGGTCATTCCCCACCCTTATCCTCTTACTCCCTTATCTCTTATAGTGCTCCACCTCCCACGGCTCAACCTCCTATCGCATTCTGCCTCCTATAGTGCTCCACCTTCTATAGTGCTCCACCTCCCACCCTACCTCACCTCCCATCACTCTCCCTTTCCCATTGCACGCCATCCTGTCACACTCAACCCTGCCTGCTCTATTCTGCCACGCTGGTCCTTTGCTGCTCTGTATATCAGGCCCACTCCCTTCAGACCCTCACATCTGCTGTTCCTTCTGTGCCGCTGTCTCCCTTATACTGACACTGCCTTTTCTAGGAAACCTGCAGTCACCATTCAATCTCCAGCCCCAGCCTGTGCTCCCCAGCTCCCATCTCTGCTGCATTTTCTTCTCTTCAGCCCTGGTCAATCACTGCATGTTCTAATGAATCACCTCTCTGCCTCCCACATTAACATGTAAGCATCACAGTTTCCTTCCCCAGTCCCCAGGACAGTTTGGCCACACCATAGCTGCCCATTACATGTGTGTGGGCTGGATGGAGCTCAAGACTGAAGGAGCGTGAAGTGTGCCTCCCCTCCAGCAGACTGGTGCATAGAAAGGGTCCCAGTGCTTCTCGGGGAGCTAGAAGGTGTTTACAAGGGCATCCCTTGCCACTCCTTACAGAAGGAAAGTGGTGGTGAGCCCCAGGAAGGAGAGTACAGCACAGCCTGGCAGACTGCTGTGGGCGGCTGAGGGTGCAGAGGCAGCTGGCTCCTGGCATCTGCGTCACCCTGGCAGCCTGTCTGAACCAGGAGGGAATTCTCTTTCCTGCTCCTCTGGGTGGAGAGAGGATGCCTCCTATGAATGAGGCTCAAATCTGAACTCCTGGGAGGTTGCTGTTTTGAACTGGCCCTGGCAGTGACGCTGCAGGGTTGTGCAAAGCCTGGAACAGTGAGGGCATTAGGACCAAGAACGAGGCGCACACTTGGCTTGGGTGGTGTCTGGCAGAGGGCTCTTGCAAAACTGGAGCTATGTGTAAAAGGAAATCAGGCAGTGCCTGCCGGCTTTACATCTGTTGATCTGACCTGACTTGAGGCGTCCAAAGAAGGACGGCTGTCAACTCAGCTGGACTGAGCCCCCGGCAGCTTGCCCCAGACATCACATAGAACCCAACCATTCATGCAGAGGGGGGAAGAACATGGGACTAAGCACCCGAGCAGGGTGAAAGGGGATCAAGCAATGCAACTGGAGTCCCTCTTAGAAGGCAATTAACAAATCTACTCAGAGAAGACGTAGGGTAGCCTTGGGCTCCTGGGGCTTACTGGTTCCAAGAAGCAGCAGGTCTTACACACGCTGTTGACAAATGTCTGATGGGATAAAAGGAGCAGGTGACTGGCAGAAAGCCTCCCAGATGCAAAGAACAACCCAGGTTCCACACAAGCTTGAAAGGACCTGTGGCACCATGAGGAAACACACTTGAGGAAGACTTGTTGCTTTGGGCAAGAGGCTGCAACATGTTGCTGAGGAAACGACCCAGGCATGGACGGTGCAGACTTCAGTTCCTCCTGCTCTTCTTGACTCTGGGAGTTGTCCTGATGATGGTGGCCATGCTGCATCCTCCGCCGCCCACCCTGCACCAGGCCATCACAGCACAGGTCAGCAAGCACAGTCCAGACACCGGGTACCGCCTGGACTTTGGAGACTCCCAGGAATGGGTTCTGGAAGCTGAGGATGAAGAGTACAGCTTCCTGGAGGGTCTGCCACCCTTCATCTCCCTGCGGGAGGATCAACTGTTGGTGGCCATTACCTCACCCAGGGCCAAGAAGAATCAGAGCCAGGGCAGGAGAGGGGGCAGCTACCAGCTTATCAAACATCTGCACAGGAGGCAAGATGAAGGCACCCCAGAGAGAGATTGGGGGATGGAGGAAGATGGGGAGGAATCTGAAGAAGAACTGACCCCACTCAACCTGGACTCACAAGGCCTCCACGAGGTGCTCAGTGCCAGCCTCCCCCTGCAGAGGGCCCTGCCTGAGGTGCGGCACCCACTGTAAGTAAGGCTCCTACCTTCCCTTCCCTGGTCTGGGCATGAGATCAGGTGGCAAAGTCAGGGGTGCAGACTCAGCCTTCCGCTCTCCCATCCTAGGGACAATGCTTCTCAAGGCGTGGTCCCTGGGACCAGCCACATCAGCCCTGCTGATGAAACACTTACCAGAAACACAGATTCTCAAATCCCATCTGCAACCTGCTCACTCAGAAGCCCCTGCGCCTCAGATACATAAATAATAAACCCTGCAGGAAAGAACCACCATCCCAGACAGTGAGGAGCTCCTGCCCACTCATTCTCTTCCCTGTCCTGGGTTCTAGTCCCACTGCTAATCCCGCTACCTCACACCGCTTTGTTAGCATGGTGGGAGCAGAAGTTCTTCGAGGCACTCTCCAGTTCTCATGCTCAGAGTCCAGGATAGTTTTCATATTAGGCTTATTATTATGTTTGCCTTAATTTGGGCTCAAATAAGCAATTGCAAGAAATATTTATGTGGCTCTTGCCATGTGCCTGGTTTTAATTTAAGAGCAGCTCATAAGCCTTCAGAAAGTCCTCTGCAGGATAGATGCTACGCTTAGGCATCATGCCTGGTTTATAGGTTTGAAAACAAGGCATAGGCCCCACGATTTGCCCACTGTTCCATGGCTACTAGGTATCAGAGCAGAGATTTGAATTCAGGCATCTAAGCCCCAGTCTGTCTGAAGCATCACTCTCTGCCTTCCTTTGTCCCCTACACCAAGGGAACAGTTCAGTACCAAGAGCTGGTATACTTGGCTGACTGTAGCTTGGCCCGCAGGGTGGTGTGTAGGACATGCAGATCTGTGCCCTGAGAGATGGCGGCTTGTCCCTTGGCCCTCTCTCACCATGACCAGCCACAGGGCTGGGCAAGGGACTGCTTACCCAAATCCAGAAGCAATGTGGCTGGTTGGCTAGGGTGGTCTTGAGCTCTGCCCTAGGAGCCATGGCTCTTCCCACAGCCCAATGGGCTTCCTGGAAAGCAAACACATCCTGTACCCCTGGAAGTGAGAGGACACATGTGCAGTGCAGCTGGGAGCAATGCCACGACTCTCAGATTGCTGGTTTCTCTGGCCTGGCTGCTGGGTCACTCACACACACAGGTGTACAGATGCATTGTGGGCACCCGGGAGCACATGCTTCCTTAGTTGTGTCTTGGAGCATTCACCTCACCACTGTCCCAGCCCTGCTATGCTGACTTCATTCCTTGGCTTTACAGCTGGGCTCAGGAAACTCCCACCCCATTCCAGTTTCAGGCTCCCTCTGAACTCACAGCACTTAGTACAACAGAAGCTAAACAGTCATCAGCATATTCATTTGCCCAGTACCTGCTTCCCCTGTAATGCTGTGAGTCCGCAGATGGTCAGGACCCAATGTGCACCCAGCACCCACCACCCAGTACAGAAATAATTGCTGAAAGAAGGAATAGATTTCCAGTGGCTTCCATGCATTTTTCCATTGGTAGAGAGCAAGAGTGAACATCTTTATATTCAAGAAGCCTGGCCTCACACTTATGGAGAGGCGCTGGCTTCCCAGTGGGGGGTGTGCTCTGTGTTTTCACAACACTGTTTATGCATACTTGTGGGTGGACTGCACATGAATGCTTGTGTACACATGTGCTATGCATGTACTGTTGAGTGTACACTGTGCTGTGTACATGTGTGCACGTGTGCTGTGCATAGTACATGTGTGTAGTATTTTGTGTTTGGTACATATAGGTTGCATATATGGTGTGATGCACACAGGGATGAGCTGTGTAGTTTGGGTTGTGTGCATGTGTTGTTGTGTGATGTGCAGAACTGTGCATGTGTATTATGATGTGTGTTTGCTTTGTATATGCTTGTGTAGTGCACATGTGCATATGCGTTGTGACTGCATTTCATGTGTATTGTGTACCTTTGTATGTATAGTGTCAGTGCATGTATTGTATGTGTTGCATATGTGTTGTAAGTGCACAGCATGTGAGACATGTGCACATGTATGACGTGTTATGCATTTGTTGTGGAGTACATGAATGTGTTCAGTGTGCAGTATAAAGTGGATGCAATTTGTGGCATGTGTTCTGTGTAAAGGTGTGCATGGACTGCATGTGGCATGCGTGGATGTAAAGTGTGTGCATATGGTATATCTTGTTCATCTGGTGTGATGTGCCCATGTACTGTGCCTGTGTGCACATGCATGCACTGTGATATGGTGTTTTACATGTTTGTGTGGTACAGTGTGCATATATATTGTATGTGTTGCATGTGTGTGTTATACTCGTGTTGTAAATGTTTCATGCATGCGATAGTGTGCTTGTGTGCAAGTGTGCTGCATGTGTTATGCATGTGGAGTGATGTGTATGGGGGGGTGATATGAATATATACAATTGTGCCAGGTGTGTTTGATGTGAAAGGCTTGTATGCTTGGGTATATCTGCTACACCACTGTTTCTTCCAGCCACGGTAACCAATTCATCTCAGGCCTGGGACTTAACCCATTCCTGCACTGAAAGCCTCTGGCAATCTGGAAACCTTTCAACCCCAGACAAAGCATGCAGTTAGGCCCTCCATCCCAACCTGCCAGGCTTCTCAATCACCAGCTCCCATGCAGAGGTGGGCAGCGCCCTCTGCTGGTCCCCACCAGTGAGTGCAGCTTATGCTTCCCAGACCTCGGCCCCCAGACTCGTTTGCAAATCAGACTTTAGCACCCAGCCTTCCAGAAGGTTCCTGGATAGCAAGAGTCCCTGCAAAGCCAGACACAACCCCCATCTCCCTGCAGGGTGACAGTGCACTCGTCCTCCCCCTTAATACTGGTGGGAACACTGGAAATTGTCCCATATTAAGCACAGCCATGTGAAGGCCTCCTGTCCCACCAGGATTGGGGGAAATTAGAACAGCTGGGGCCTCTGTCTCTGGTGTTTTCTCTGCCATACCCTTCCCTCCCCCAAGCCTTCTGCGAACATCTCTTTGCTAACCCAGACATGTCCCGCTGGCCTTCACCCAGATCCCCACACCACCCTGGCCTTTGCTACATTCTTTGCTCTAGGGTCATGACTGGAGGTCATGCACAGTGGGAATATGAGGAAATTACCAATGATGCAAGACTGAAAAAGAAAAACACCAATGTAAAAGGAGCCGAAAGACAGTCTCTGGGACCAGGCATGGTGCTACACACCTGTGACGCCAGCACTTAAGGGACCAAGGCAGGGAATTGTGAGTTTGAGACCAGCCTGGGCTATACAGTGAGACCCTGTCTCCAAAAAGAAAAAAGTCTCAGGAAAAAGAAACAAAATTATAGTGAGCATCTATTGAACACTTATGCGCTCAAAATAAAGTGGTTTCACTTGCTTAATTAGCTTCACAAATTTCAGATTTATGAATGAGAAAAATCAAGGGGCAGACAGGTGGATGGTTTGGTACCATGTGACTGACCAAGTCAGGCTCTTAACCATCTTGCTAGACTCTGAGTCTGTTGCTTTCCAGGCCAAATATGGGCACGTCACCCAGGCAGCAAGCAGTTTGAGTTTGCCCATCTTAAAACCAGGCAATTCCCGTAGCCCCTGGGAGCAGGTAGGAGGATACCTATCACAACATCCTTGGTGGTACTGAAGAGTTGAAGTCACCTAACATCTCATTGCAGGACACTGGAGGGTTGGGTGCATCCTATAAAACATCTGCTGAGCTAGAAGTAGCAGATTCTGGTTCTATTTACCAGTGAAGGAGCTCTTGAAAATTCTCTGCCAGAGGGAAAGAAGTCAGACACAGAGGCCCCCAGGGCAGCACCCACAGGGCAGATGTAAACTGTGTACTCTACTGTGCTTTAAGGGCCAGTTTGAATGGGGGGTTGATTGCAAGTCCTCCTCACTAGTGGCCCACAGCCCACAGCAGCATGCAAGGCTAGTTATTCCAGGCCCCACTCCCTTCGATCTTCCTGGCTTCCAGTGTAGAGCGGGGGATGTCAAGTTCTAAGAGGCTCCCAGGAATTGATGTTTTGCATCTCAAAGGCCAAGGGCTCTGCCACTCCCTGCTCAGAGTTTAGGCACCCATCCAAGCATCCAGGAGGCTTGTTAAAGTGTGGATTCAGGCCTCCTCTGTGGGCTTCTGGCCTCCACTGCTGCCCTAAGGATACCTTGGGAACCACGTTCAAAGTCACCTTGCTGGGCTAGGTTGACCACAGCAAGGCCCTCAAACTTCAGCCTGCTTGTGAATCATCAACAAGAGGTTTACAGGCAGAGTCAGATTTAAGAAGTCAGGGGTGTAGCCCAAGACACTAAGTTCCCAGAGGTCTGCAGACTCTGCTTTTGAGCCGCAAGGGGCTCCACCACGGCTCCCCAGGTATGCACACGTCTGACACTCCAGATGCTTACACTCTTTCACTGGAGACACTGTAGGTCTAAGTTGTAGGCCAGTATTTTCAAGGTCGAAAAACTGGTACTAGACAATTTGAGAAGCAGGTAGCACAGAAAGTGAGTAGAGAGATGGTTTAGTTCAGGAACGTTCCTACAGAAAGGTAGAGCTGGAGTTGGGAAAATAAATGAGAAGGGCAGAGAGAAATACAGTTTCTTGATGACCCTGGGTGTTCATACCTTAACTTGTCAGATTAGCTGATCTGAAATCCAATCCTGGTTCCACTTTTGGCTGTGTGACCTTGTGCAAGTCAATCAACATCTCTGAGCCTCAGTCTTCTCAACTGTAAAATGGGTGAAAATACGCTTGCATAGGGCTGTAGAGAAAGTGAGAGCAAGTGTGTGATGGCTTCCTCCTGGTACTAAAGTCCAAAGAGAAAGTCTTTATCATATTCTTCAGCAAGGGCTCTGGGTATGAGCTGGAGAGGAGAACTGTGGCTGTCACCTTGCTCTCCTTTCATTATCTGTCTTTGGGGGCTGCTAAATCATCACAAACATGATGGCCCTTTAGAATCATCTGGGAAGTCCAATCTATTTGGTTGGTCTGAGTGAGCCCTGGGCACAGAAGACTTTAAAAGCACACAGATGGCTCTAGCATGCA